TGTGTAGCAGCGTTAAACTCTCGTCAATTTCGGTGTGTGTGTGTGTGTGTGTGTGCAACAAGGCATGTGAACGATTGAAGAGGGGATGGGAGGCCATTAACATCTTCAAATGAATCAGATGTTGGCGTTGCAACAAAAAAAAATATTGGCATAAATTGCCGAAAAACAAACAAACTAACAGTCAAATCATTGATGACGATGATGGCGACGACAATGGTACAGAGGTGCTAAAAGTTGTCAAGAGTAAAGCTAAAGGAGATGGTTGCAGTCGAAACGCAAATTATCTCCTCTTACACAGTTTGTAGATGTGTTCTTGGCCAGAGGAATGTGTAAAAGAAAGGCACAGTGTTTTTATAGATCGAACTATGTGTTTATGTTTAATGTGGTGGCTGTATGCGATTCGAAACATTACTGTGGGCAATAATTCTCATTTACTTCATAATTCTCTTGTTACTTACATTTACTACTTGCATAAATAGATCGTCTTTTCATCAGTGAGTTTTTAGATAATTAGGGCACTAATTGCCTGTGTTTTTATACCCTCAGTCATATATCTAGAGAGAGTATATATCAGGGCTACAAACCGGTTTCGAACGGAACCGGTTTATAACCGATCTTGTGTTGATAGAAATATTGAGATGTTCGAAGTCTAAATGAAATCGGATGTTAATTTAGCGATTTATGGGCTTCGTGGACATTTACAATTTTGACCCTCTGTGGGGGAAATACCAGAAGCAGTGAATCCATCACAGCATATCTTGTGTTTGTGGAAGTAATGGAATATGAGAGATATTTCGGATTTTATGATCATTTTTGTTATTTAAAACTTTGACCCTTTGAGGGGAAGTACCAGAAAGAATGATTCGATATCCAACATCTTTTTTAACAGATCTACTGTTGATAAAAATATTAAGATGTGCCAAGTCTGAATGAAATCGGATGTAAATTTCGCGTTATATGAGCTTCATGGATATTCAAAATGTTGATTCTTTTGTGGCGGAGGTAACAGATGGAGTGGACCGATGTATCCGATCTTCACAATATATGAGCTTCATGGATATTCAAAATGTTGATTCTTTTGTGGCGGAGGTAACAGATGGAGTGGACCGATGTATCCGATCTTCACAACAGACCTTGGGCTAATAAAAATATTGTGATGTGTGTAATTTGAAGACAATCGGGTCATTACATAATATTGTAAAAGAGTTGTAATTATTCAAAATGTTGAAAAATTTTTTGGGGAGGTACTTGATGGAGTGGACCAACATTGTCCTTTGATGCAAATATTAGGATTTGCAAAATTGAAGCGGGTTTTTTGACCCTAGGTCTTTTTGGATCAAATTTCAGGATATTTGGAGTCATTCTAGCGGTATCCGTCCGTCCGTCTGTCTGTCTGGCTGGTGCGTACGATACCTCTCGAAGGGAGTATTCTATTTGGTCCAAATTTGGTGCGTCGTAATATTATTGTCAAACTCAGATCGAGTTCGGAGATGGACAATGTCGGTTCGCTCCTTCTGGTACCTCCCTAAAATGTTCATAGGAAATAATTTACCTAATAGAAGACATTGCAATTCCCAATATTTGTATCAGTATTAGGTCAGGTACGAAAATGAACAATATCGACCCACTCCATCAAACACCTCCCCCACAATGGGTCAAAATTTTGAACAATTATAACTCTTATAAAATTTCGCACATCCCAATAGTTTTACCCACACAAGATCTGGCGAGATTAAATATATCGGGCCACTCCTTCTGGTACCTCCCACACAACGATCAAAATTTTGAAAAATAATATCTTTCAGGAAATCCGTAATAAGTTCCCGATTCTCTTCACATTTCACACCTTCCACTATTTTTAATAACAAACGATCTGGTGTGATGATGGGATATATCTGTCCACTCCTTTCAGTACCTCCCCCACCAAGCAGTGAACATTTTGAATAATAATATCTCTCCTAATACGTGGACTAAACATCAGCTTCATTCTTAACTTCACACATTCCAATATTTCTACTAACACAGGATCTATTATGAAGATTGTAGATATCGGCAAATTCCTCCTAGTACCTATCCCATAAATGCTTCAAAATTATGAATAACAGAAAAAGTATCCGCTTCTCTTTAAATCGCATACATCCTAATATTTCTACTAACGAAATATCTGGTGTAAAGATGAAATATATCGTCCCACTACATCAAATATCTTCCCCAAATACTCAAGAAACATCCGATTTTCTTCAATTTTCACACATCCCAACATATCTTTCGACACAAGATCTTGTTGGAAAATAACTGATATTGGATCATCCTTTCTGGTACATCCCCCTCAAAGGGTCACAATTTTCTATATTTATATTTCCCATAATTTTGTGAAACCTCTGATGTGAATATGGAAGAAATTAGTCGATGTAGTCCAAATTTGGCACGTTGTATCACATTTAGGTCAGATGCAAAATTTCAGACATTCAAGGTTTTATATATTATTCGATCTTTTTTGCTTCTTCGGATTATAGGAAAATGTTTACCTTTTACACCAACCTTTCATTTTGATGTCTACCGATAGTAAAATCATTGCCCAATGAACCCACATCAAATTTTTCTGTCCAAAACTATTTCAACGTCTCCATATGTAGACCCTAGAAACCAACAGTACCTTCAATATCTAATTTCAGATCTTTCCTTTCATCGAATACCAAATTTAGTACCCATATCCGAAACAATCTACATCTCCCCATTCTAGACATCTACAGTGATCCAAAATTAGTACCATGTAGTAGTTTTCGACCTGTTGCAGTACCCATTTCTGAAACTATCACGAGATCCCAACACCAGCTACCAACAGAGACCTCAATATCAAATTTCAGGATTCCAGCTCTATTCCTTCACCCAATACCAAATTTAGTACAATTTAGTACTTTTCGTATGAATATAGGACGCATTTCGAAAACCCCACCCATTTCTTTACCACAGCCACCAACAGACAAAACATCCATATTAAATTTCACGATTTGAGCTCTATCCCTTCACCCAATATTACAACACTGGTAACCAGATAACAATATCCGTATCAAATTTCAGGATTCCAGCTCTATTACTTCACTCAATACCAAATTTAGTACCACTTAGTACTTTTCGTACAAATATAGTATGTACTCCCAAACCAACGCAAAATCCCAAACACAGATACCATCAGTAATCTAAATATCAAATTTCAGAATTTGATCTCTAACTTTTCACTCAATACCAAAAATAGTACCGTTCAGTACTTTTTGTACAATTATAGTACATATTTCCGGAACCTCCTCCATATGTCCAGGCTACACATGAACAGCGTCCCTAATACCAAATACCAAATTATAGATTTCAACCCAAGTTCACCCAATACCAAATTGTTCCAAATATAGTACTATTTAGTACTTTTCGTGCGCTTGTAGTACACATTTGTATTAGGGTCCCACCACTTTATTACAAACCTAGCACCACCAACAGAGAACCTAATACAAAAATTTAAATATTTCAGCTTCATCCGTTCACCATAAACCCAACATTTCCAAATTGAGTATCATTTAGTACTCACATTTTTTTGTCATTTAGTGCACATTAAACCGAACCTTTCCAAATTGAGTACCACTTAGTACTCACACTTTTCTTCACTTAGTGCACATTTCCAAAACCACCTTCATATATCAAACTTACTTTCCAACCTGGATTCTCATACCAAATTTAAAGTTTTTAGCTCTATCCGTTCACATAACACCAAATGGTACCATTTTTGAACTTTTCGTAAGCTTAAACTCCTAATTTCCTAAAACTCTTGGTACGTCTACCCTGCTCTCCATCAGTGACACTCATTCCAAATTTCAGCTCATTCGGTTTGTTCAATAGAAAGCGTTAAATTTTTAGTACTTTTTAGTACCAATTTCCAAAAACTCTGAGGGCATCTATCGGGTACCGAGTGAAACTTTTTGACTTGTTTTTTTTGTTTTTTTTTTTTTAAATATTTCTCAAGAAGAATTTATGAAATTCTACGTAAAATTTGGAGTTTTGACTACAATACCTCGTCTCATTTCTTGTATCCCAACACTGTGCCACCGCTGCTGTCCCAAAACCAAATAATGCCAATTTAGATTTAAAGTTTCGTGCAATTTACACTCTTTGCGTCAACGAATTAAAAATTTTTTTGGAGAAAAATAAAACGTTTTTAGATTTCACACTTGTTGTTGTTTGACCGGCAATGGATGAAGGGAACTTCTGCAACACTTATCACACAAATAGTGAGACATTTTCAAACACAATTGCAATTTTCATTGCATTCAAAATCGTTTGCGATTTCCTTCAATTGTTGTTCATTTTTGTGCTCTCTTCGTTAGTTGGCCGTTTGGAATGGCATAAACGATCTAACACCTCACAGCCATGACAATTCGTTGGTCGATTTTTTGTTTTTGCAAAGTGGTCTTTTTAAGTTGATACATCACCCAGAGGTGTTAAACTAACAATAACAAGTTCAGCCGATTGCCAGAAGCTACAAACAATTGTGGAATACTAGAAGGACTAACAACGAGGTAAGAAATTGAAGGGGGGAGGGGGGAAAGAGCAGTAATACGCAATTTCTTCCTCTTTCGTGTAACTAGAAGTTGTATATACCCATCGAACCAAATGCGTTCGACACGTCTGCTCTGAAGTATAGTCCGAAGCATCTGTTCGAGGTATGTCCGAAATATACCAATTTAGCTGACAGATATTTATTTTGTTTTTTCTCTTCTGCATGTGTGGTAAAATTTGTTAAAAAAGAAGCAAAAGAGATAATAAATGGAGGGCGTCTCTGTCTCTCTTTTTGAGAAGCATTTTGTGCTTATATATTGGGGATTTCGATTTCGGTTCGGACTTCAGACTTTCATCCGACGGTCACCTGACAACCGACAACACATCAACCCCTAATATAACTTTCGATCAGAATTTGGAGAGAATACGCATCGGAAATCAGAAGTTTACAGCCTGTTCCACGATCTCGAAAGAAAATTTGTGCGAACGAAGGCTACTCACTCACTTTCGCATAAGAATGCGTTCCACTAACTTTCGTTCTTTCTTTCGCATAGCCTTACGTGATTCAGTGTTGCAAAATATTTTTTGGCAAAATTAATCGCGAAATAAGGCAAAAAAAGCGCCAAATGTCTAATTTAAACGCGAAAAAGCAGCAGTGGCTCTGTCTCAACTGACAGTTCAGTTGTAAACAAACAAATTGTAAATAAACAAACAAAATAAAATTTCTAGTGATTGAGTTCAGATTATTTGTGTTCTTAAAAAAGAAAAAAATGAATATTTCTGTGGCCCTGTTTTTTATGGATGATGAGGAGGAGGTACAAAATGTGCCACGGAGGCATTTAAGAGATGCTTCGAATTTATTTGAAGTACCTAACAACCAGTAAGTATGATTGTATTTTTACATTTTTGAAATAATAAAAAATGATTTTTTCTAGGTTTGTGGCCAATTTTCGTGTGTCGAAGGAAGTTTTTCGGGCTCTTTTGGATATGATGGAAGAGAAGTGGGTGGCCGGTTGCAGAACTACCCAAATCCGCCCCGATTTAAAACTTGGCACATTCTTGCGGTTTTTGGCAACAGGAAGCTACCAACAGAATCTAGGGAACGAAGCCTTGACTTCAACAGCGAAGTCGACAGTGAGCAGAACCATTGCGGAATGTCTGCAGATTTTTGAGGACCACATTTGCGGCCAATGGATAAAAAAGCCGACACTTACAGAGGAACGCAACACAATGGAGGCTTTCTATGAAAGAACAATGTTCCCTGGAATTGTTGGATGCGTTGATGGCACGCATATCCGCATCAAGTCACCAGGGGACGAATTGAAAGCCCTTTACTATAATAGAAAGGGTTATTATAGTATAAATGCAATGGTGGTAAGTAAATACATTTATCGTAAAGCGATTTTAAAATTATTGTGTTTTTCGAATTAGATATGTGACCATAAAATGCGTATAACATTTGTCGACGCTAGACATCCCGGAAGCAACCATGATGCATTTGTATGGGAAAGGAGTGATCCAGACAAGTGTATGCAAAGGGAGTTTGACAATGGAAAACGAAACTTTTGGATTCTCGGTGAGTAATTTGTATACATCTTATATCATAATACATCAATTACATTTGTGTTTTCTTTTTTATAGGGGATGGAGGATACAAATTGAAGCCCTTTCTTATGACGCCTTACCGCAGCCCTAGAGATGTCGCCGAGAAAAAATTCAATAAGAGACATGCTAGTGCGCGTAACGTCATTGAAAGGTGCTTTGGGGTCCTAAAAAACAGATTCCGATGTATCATCGGATCTCGGGGCCTTCATTATGACGCTGCAAAGGTAGTGCAAATTATAAATGCATGTTGTGCGCTGCACAACATGTGCATACACTACCGATCTGAAGAGCCGCCAGGTGATGTTATTGATGATGATCTGGAAGACGAAGTGGATGACAATAATGATCTTGAAAGCAGAGCTGACGCAATAAGGAGAAAAATTGCAATAAATTTGTAAAATTAAAAGAATTTTTTATTAAAATAAAATAATATAAATTAAAAATTAAAAAATTAGTTTAAATTATTATAAAAGGACTATAGTGAATTGTTTTGTGAATTGTTTTGCAAAAAAGTTGATAGAATTGCTTCTATAGACTTAAGCATTTTTGTTTGGGCCTCGGCACAATCTGCCATTCTCTCTGCAGCGTCAGCCATCCTTTTGCTTGCATCTGCTTGCTCCTTGGCTATTGCATTTGCCTGCTCGACCAGCCGCAATTGCCGACGGATAAGAGGTATTTGCTCTCCGACGTTGGAACGTTTTTTTGCTGATGATGTGGATGGAAAATTATGTTGTGATGTGCATTTGAATGGGGGTGATTTCTGCACGGTTTGATGTTCCATGTGTTGACGAGGGGACGTTGTTTGTTTACGTTGGTGTTGCTGTTGGGTCTGTGTTTGTTGTGTGTGTGCTGACTGTGTCTGAGTTTGTTGTGTGTGTGCTGACTGTGCCTGTTGTTTTGCAGTTTGTGTGTAGAAATGGGGTGAGATTTTTTGTCTTTTGGCTGGTGGTTGGTATTGTTGAGTTGTGATGGTACAGGTTTTTACGTTTATTTGTTGTTGTTGGGTATGTGATTCTGGGGAACTGAACTGTCTGGTAGGTGTTACCACTGCTACGGTCTTGGATGGTCTTGATGGTGTGGTATCCAATGCCTCGAAGCAGTAATCTATTTCGTCCGCGTAGCCAAAAGTTTTACCACTTGGTGCTGCGGACTTCGACAAGAAGAGTGTCCGGTCAATTGCTGTTTCCAGTTCCGTTAGGCACTCAAACCGGTATAAACCACCACCGGTACCTTGCAGCCCTTTTTTATTTTCCGCAATTTTCTTTTTGGTGCGGGACTTTAGATCGGCCCACGTCTGTAAATAGTAATGCCGGTCAGACAAATAGATCGTAAGCCGAGTTTTCTGACTTACCTTTTTCCACTCTGCAATTGTGCGGGAAGGAGGACCCATGGTATTTAATTTAAAAACTAACTTCTTCCAGTGGTCCTCCAGGGATTGCCTGCTGCTTCCAAAAATTGGCACTCCTCTGGCAAACTCGGGATTCTCCTCCATATACTCAACTAGTGCCCGCAGCTGTGTAGTTGATGATTTTTTCGTGCTGGAATTGAGAAAATAAAAAAATATATTTATTGTTCCCATAATAAATTGGATTTATTATTTTTACTTACATTTTTGTTTCCATTTTCAATTAAGCAATGTTTATGTTTTAAAACAGATTTTCCTTAATTGTTATCGTACGACAGCAAACACACAAGTGACTGATTTTGACATTTGTGTTCGCATGCGTACGAAAGAAAAAAGATAGTGGAACGCAAAATTACACTGAAACGCTTACGTTTTCGTTCGCATTGATTTTCGTGCAAATTTTCGTTCTGATGGATTTTAGTGGAACGGAAATCAGCTGTTTGTCGTGTAAAAGTTGTGCGAACGTGTTCTTTCGATATCGTGGAACAGGCTGTTAATCTGACTTTCGGTTTGAAGTTGGATCGAACACGGAAAGTTTGGTCCGCTGGGTATGTGTTCGATGCTATAGGAATGTTTATTCTTAATATTGCCATATTTTCCATAAAAGGACGATCTAAGAGTCTCTATTTTGTTGAACTCCATTTTCCATTGTATTCCTCTTGAAATAATTGAAATCCTCAAGACTAGCTTACACATCATGTTAGAATGAAATATGATGTGAGTTTTTCCATACATATCTTTAGAATTTTTATAACATACTTTCAGGCGCTCCTAATGAAACTAAACAGAAATGCTATACTACATTGCATAAACGAGATATGAGGAAAGGTTGGGTAAAGGTTGCAAATTCGAACTATCAGTGTACTAAAAATACAAAAATGTCCTAAGAATTCAATCCATTGTATTGGTCAAACAGATAGAGCTAGAATTTGGAATAAGGTTTGCTGATGGGGTGTAGGATAACTGTTTCAAATGTTTTTTTTTGGAAATTCGAACCATAAGTTGGCTAAAAGTACTTAAAAGCACTACATTTGTTACCATTTAGTATTATGTGAGCGGATAAAGCTAAAATATTAACTTTTGATATAAGAATTAAGTTTGGGACGTCCGTTTCACATAAAAAGGAGGTTTTGGAAATGTGTACTAAGTGTAAGAATAAGTACTAAAAGGTGCTAACTTTTTAAAAAAAAATGGTTTTGGGGCGAGTAATTTTGAAATGTTGGTATTCAGGTCACTGCGGGGGGGGGGGGGGGCAGCGTTGAGATAAGAATGTGGTTTTGGATATATGTACTAAAAAAGTACGAAATGTAATAAATTGCACTAAATTGGGTATATGGGGAAGGGATAGATAGTTGGAATTCTGAAATTTGGAAAGAGGGTCACTGGTTGAGTGTAGGAAAGATACAGGGTGAGATGAAAAAACTGCAATCAACTTCAGACTGCTGTCATTTCTAAGCCATTCGTCCGTTAGCTGTTAAAATTATTCTAGTGATAGTTTATTATATTTTTTACAATCGTACAAAAGCATTTTGTTGAGAATTTTCCAGAAAGAAAGTTAATCGTGATGGAATTCAAGCGTGATAGTTTGATTTCTTTATATTTGGCTGGAAACCCACAAGTGGCTATCGTTAGAGCACTCCATCATTTAAATGTGAATAAATCTTTTGTGTCTCATACCATCGCTCGTTGCCGTGATACTGGTAGCGTAGCCCGACGTCAAGGAAGTGGACGGAAGAAAACAGCAACATCAGCAGAAATGGTTCGAAAAATAAAGAAGCAACTTGCTCGAAGCCCGCGTCGCAGTGGCCGAAAAATGGTAATACTCCATTCGACAAATATTGAAAAATTAACTCGGGGTGAAGCCATTGAAATTACAAAAAGTGCAAGAACTTACACCGCAACAGAAAGAAAATGGACTCAAAAGAGCTAAAGAGTTGCTTCGCTTGGCCGAAAGTGGTGAACTGCCGAATTTAGTCTTCTCCACTCGTTGTCCAGCAGTTTGTAAACAAACAAAATGATTGTGTTTCCTTTCCAAAGAGGTCAGCTGAAAATGTGCACCTTCGGTTGGCCACCAGAACTCAAGCGCCGGCCATGTTGATGGTGTGGGCCGCCATAACAGCCGATGGTCGCTCTCCGCTAGTATTAATCGAAAATCGCATGGCATCAGAATAAATGCTGAATATTATCGCGAAAATATTCTGGAGGGTGTATTAAAGCCTTGGGCACGCAAACATTTTGGCCGCAGACCTTGGACATTCCAACAGGACTCAGCACTATCGCACTCAGCACGCGCCACCCAAGAATTATTACAAAATGAGATTTCTCGCTTCATTTCCAGCGCACAATGTCCACCAAAATCTCCGGATACCAATCAGTTGGAGTATTGTGTCTGGAGTATTTTGGAAAGCAAGGTTGGTACTATAAATACCAAAGTGTGGATCTTCTTCCACTTCGCCGGGAATGGGCCAAAATACCGTAGAGCAACATTCGGGCAGCGTGTGACTGTTTCATTGGCCGTTTGAAGGCCATAATTCGCGTCAAAGGTGACCAATTCGAACAAATTTAAACTTATTATAAAATTTGATGCTATTTCCGACATTTTTTGCTTTCATTCAATAAAATTAAAAAAAAAATGTAAAAATGATGTCGTTTTACTTTGTCGCATTTTTTTATCTCACCCTGTATGTGAGCTATTTCTAAACCTGATCCGATTATCACCAATTTCAATAGGGTTCATCCTTGGGTCAAAAAATATTTTTTTGGAAAATTTCATCTCAATCGTATAATAAATGCGACCTGCATTTTTGTTTGAAGGTTATGCATAAATCGGCTTAGAATGTGATTCTATGAAGATCCTCAAAAGTGACAATGGGTCTATTAGGCTTCCTTGTTACAAACAAATGCACAAAGAAATGATACTATGTGATGTAGGGTATAAAAAGTACTAAATGGTACGAAATTTGGCAATTTTGATATTCCGATCACTGTGAGAGTGTAGCGTTTAGATAACGTGGTAATTTTTTTAAATCCGTACTATTAAGTGTACGAATTGTACTAAATGGTACTAAATTTTATATACAATGTAGGAATAGAGCTGAACTTTTTAAAGGTCATTGTGAGCTGGACAATTGACACTTTTTTTGGATGTGGATAGTATAGTGTTCGAAAAGTACTAAAGGGTGATTTTTTAAGAGCTAAAAATATTGCTCCGATCGTCCTAATTATCTGTAACATTATGGTGGGTTACATTTGAGTGACATGATTGGTTTGGTGGGGTTTGATGAAATGTTTGGTTACACGGAGAGGAATTGAATAAAGGCATTTTCTCAAGAAACAACTATGATCCTGCAATTTAAGGAAGATGAGGCAGTAAGCCATGAATTAAAAAAAAATCAAGAACCAAAAGAGCAATAAACTTGGTCTTTTTAAAGAAGGATTTTCAAGAACCAACAGAACAATAAACTTGGATTTTTAAAGACGTATTTTTCAAAAGCCATCAGAGCATTAAAAATACAAGTAAAATTCGGAAATTTTTTATTTGAAATAATAGTACGGTCCATATAATTGAACGTTTGAAAATCCTTTCATGCTAATGTTGACCGCGATTGTGCCTCAAATGATCCATCCGCTTAGACCAATTTTGGCATAGTATTTTTAACATTTCTACTTAGACTTTTCGTTCAGAACTCTCTGAATCATTGGTAAAAATCAATGACTTTTTCGGCTACCTTAGAATGGCCATCGACTCCTTACCATAGCATTACCAAAAATCGCATAGACATAACACTCACTTGGGGGAAAAATACGAATCTGGTAACATTCTTCAATTGCGCATGCTCCAGCGTTTAGTGTTAACGTCTAAACCACGTTCATATTTATGCCCCCGACCAATGGCTGATGGTGTTTTCGAGATTGTTGAATTTGGATATCAAGAGTGGAGAATTAACTATGCACTTTATTTGTATGGCTATAATTTTGCACATTTTGTTGCAAAAACAACACTCGTCCATGCAATTGAATGGCTGAGTGGTTGGCTTGGCTGGTTAGTTGACTGTCAGCCAGATTGCCAGTCTGGCTGCCTGCATTAGCACCCCAGCCAGTCATTCCCATTTAGTATCATTTCATTTCGTTCCTCGTTATGTTTTCACGTACCAACAATTTATTTGTTTACTTGACCAACTCAACTTGGCTCGACTCGGCTGCGATGATGCTGCTGATGATGGTGGAGACAATGAGAATTGCCAGTTAACGTTTGTTGTTTCATTGCTGGCAGTTCAGTAACTGCTGCTACTATTTACTGTAGCAATGTGTGTGTGTGTGTGTGTGTGTGCATTACGCTGATACGGCTAAAGTGTTTCGGTTTTATTTACAAATTCAGATTTGCCTCAGCAGTCAATATACAAAAATGCTTGTTAAGTCTGCCGTTTTTCTCATCAACACCATGAGGTAGCAGTAAATAGTACTTCTCCTTCTCCTCCTTCTCATCATCATCATCGTTGTCGTCATCGCCATGGCCGAAGCCATCATCACCCTGATTATCTGCAACATTATGGTGGGTTACATTTGTGTGAGCAGATTGGTTTTGGTGAGGTTTGATGAAATGTTTGGCTACACGGAGAGAAATTGAAGGAAGAGATTATTCAAAAATCAACGGAGATATAATGCTGCACTTTAAGGAGGTTTTTTTTTCAAGGATCAACTGACGAAAATTGTTGTCAAGTACCTACAAAGCAATAAACCAGGATTTTAATGAAGTTGTTTTCAAGAACCAACGGAGCAAAGAAAATGGATTTTTTAAGGACCAACAGAGAAATAAACGTGGATTTTTTGAAGAAGAATTTTTTCAAGGACTAACAGACCAATAAACCTGGATTTTTTAAAGCATATTTTTGAAGGACCAACAGAGTAATAAACGTGATTTTTTTAAAACAGATTTTTTTTTTAAAGCAGTCTTTTTCAAGGACCAACAGAGCCATAAACTTGGATTTTTTAAAGTAAAATTTTTCAAGGACCAACAGAGCAATAAACTTGGATTTTTTAAAGCAGATTTTTTCAAGGACGAACAGAGCAATAAACGTGGATTTTTTAAAGCAGATTTTTTTAAGGACCGAACGTGGATTTTTAAACAAGTTTTTTTGCAAGGGTCAAATGTGGATTTGGATTTCAAGAAACGAACGCGATTTTTTTTAAAACAGATTTTTTCAAGGACCAAACGTGGATTTTAAAGAAAAGTTTTTCAAGGACCAAACATGGATTTTTTTAAAGAAGATTTTTTCAAGAACCAAACATGGATTTTTGAAGAAGATTTTTTCAAGGACCAAACGTGGATTTTTGAAGAAGAGTTTTTCAAGGACCAAACATGGATTTTTTTAAAGAAGATTTTTTCAAGCAACAAACGTGGACTTTTTAAAGAAGATTTTTTCAAGGACCAAACGTGGATTTTTTAAAGAAGATTTTTTCAAGGACCAAACGATGATTTTTTCAAGGACCAA